AAAAGTTCTTTGAAAAAATCTTTTTCAGCTTGTTTGTCCAACTGGGTGAGATGTAACTTTTTGACAGCTACTGTGTGATGTCGACTTAACCATTGAGCTCGATAAACTATTCCAAACGCTCCACGACCAATTTCCTCGTCCAGTTGTATGTCCTTGTTCGATATTTGTAAAAAGTTTTGCGGTTGTTCTAAAATTCAAAAATATATACTAGCATCTGTCGATATGAATAGATGATCTGATCTTGAATGAGAATGTTGTCTGTATTAAGGAGCGTTATTTAAAAACAGAGTATTTCCAGTAACACTCACAAATTCAATAGTAGTGTAGAGAAACTCAAGAAAATTTAAACTCCTCAACTTTAATACTCTTTTCAACTCTAGATAGTAAAAGCTTTTGTAATAATAGATCATTCTAAAGACAATGTTTGGCGTTCGAAAAGATATTGACCAATCTACGGTAATTGCCTGGAATGCTTGACGTACAGTCAGAAGGTTCTCATACATTTAAATTTCTTGTATAACGATGAGGAAGTTCAATAATGTTCACTTAGTGATTTTTCTCTGAACATTTCTAACAAGGAAAAATGAAATCAAAGTCAATTCTTCTTTTCTATGTCTGAAAACAATATTTGTGTGACTGGCTTTTTTTATCGTTCGTGCATACATGCAGCAGTCTCGATTAAATGTCAATTAAACTCTAGATCATACTTGAAATTATTGAAGTGTTTTTTCGACTGAATCGAGTCAACCGCTTGGAAATCCTGACTTTATTGGCAAAAAAATCAATCCTTTTAGTGCGTGAGTAAATCAATTCATTTTTTTGAAAAAGCCTGTTCTTTGAATTTTACAAAGATGTACAATGTACAACTCATATCACTATTGAACATTATAAAACTAGCAATTCCTATTTCGGTCTGGTACGTTTAATATGCGTTAGCAGCATTAAAAACGAACGAAAATCTCTTTCGAATAACTAAGGTTGATTTATTCTTATTAAAAATAAATATTTGATAAAGCCGAAACGTATTTCAGTACTTCAAATGACGTTATTAGCAACAGAAACAGAAGTTGAGTTAAAACGTAAGGTTGCCTTCATTTAACTTTCTAGTTTAGGTTTATTAACATTTCAATAATATCATAGTAATATGACGTTAATAGTTGACAGAACCTGGACAGTAGAGCGGAATTCCTTCTCATATTTTTCAAAAACATGATAAAATGAAAACTACTAGGTATTGAACTTTTGTGAGAATTGGTTAGAAAGAGTTTACAGCTATGAGCTCAACATTTCAGGACCAAAAATCATTAGTTTATATCTAAATTAAAATATAATGTCTGGTTTGCTTTCCATGAGCATAAAGTTATTAGACATGATCCGAGCCTCTCGTCTTACGACGAAAAAGTGTTCAAGAAATATTTCAGAGCTGGGATTTTAACAATAGCTGAAAATTGGTCAGTTAAACACTGTCAAGCTCTTATCTTTTGATCACTAAAAATTTGAAAATGATTAGAAATGAACGCTATAGGCCAACTGAAAGTATCCGAAAAAGAATGAAAAACCGATGAAACTCAGTTGGCTTGAAAACTTCAACTAGACCAAACTCGTGACTGGCTGGTCTAGTTCCAATATAAAAATCTTAACTCATTTGAAGCTTGATTTGCTCCGTAATATTCTTTTGGGCGTATTAAAATTTCTGACTGGTTATTTTCAATTCAATATAATCGCTAATCAACTAGTGATAATGCTCAAAATGCTGCCGATATACTATCATTATTTCAAAATGCGATGATGCTCGCTCAGAGGACTAAGTACACATATTCTTTTAGAGTTACACTATATTACTTATTCTTTTTATTTCAATGACCTTATCTATACCATTCAACTCGAGGTATGTTCAGATTTCCGAAAAAGGAAATTACAGAAATTTCCGAAGCTTCCATCAACTCGATAACTACATAGCAAAGCACATGAAAATATTTTGGAAATATTGGAAAGTTTAGAAATTTTAGAATTTTCTGTAATTTCGGAAATTTCGCTATGTATAGAATTTTGGAAATTTCGGAAATTATATAATTTTGAGAAGTATTACACGATTTAGAACACAAGTGTTTGAAATTTCCAAAACTTCCGAAATTTCCTTTTTCGGAAGTCTGAACACTGCTGTTCAACTCAGATTAAGTCGAAGAACAATTCAGATGCTAACAATCTTTTTCTCTAAATATTTAGAAATCAATAAACTTGACACGCACAATTGTTATGATAATATTTGAATTTCTAGTAAACAACAACAGTAGAAATCATTAGCGTATTTACCGGATCTACGTGATTGATTGGGGTTGCCACTGCATAAGTATATATCCCTCTCTGATAGAGAAGCACTCACAAATGGAATTTGTTTTGATTTCGAATCATTTATTACTCCTTTGGTAACATCACTTAATATCATTCGTATGTCTTCATTCTTTTTTTTAATATTTTCCAAAAGATGCTTTGTGAATAAGCCGTTTCTTTGTCCTTGTCCTTCAATGGCTATAGTTCCAGGCGCACAAGCAAACGCTATCAATGACCCAGCCTTGTGCATGGCTTTGAGACCCACTGATTTTGGATCATTTCTCTCGAGATTACGTGCGTCAGCTTCAAGATTGCGTAACTGATAGTTTCTACAGCAATCTAAGAGGAATATTGTTACATATGGATCGCAATCACTTAAACTGTCAAGAATATCTTGTGCATTGATAGCGCTTTTTCTTAAAGCTGTACCATTCGAACTGGGAATATCACTTGGTATCAAATAGTTTTGATCCTACAAGTCCCACAAATAAAACATATATAGAAAAACGAAATAACTTTTAATGGTAAATCTTTAGCACATACTTGCCATTGTATGCCATGTCCAGCAAAATAAAATAGGACCATGTCGCCAGGCTCTATTGATTGTTCGAAATCAATAATAACATGTTTCATCTCAGCACATTTAAGATGTAGTTTTTTTGTTACAATGAAACCAATACTCTCCAGAGTAGATGATATATCATTCGCATCATTTTCTGGATTGTCTAATTCGTCACGATGTTCATATTTACCAATACCAATTACAAGAGCCAACTTTCGTCTTGCTCCACTTTTAGCCGCCATTAATAAACAGCAATTTCGATCTGAAAATAACACATTTCCTATCATGTAATATATCAAGAGATGAAATTACAGGTTGATATTATTGCAAATACTTCAAAGAAGCTTCCTATAGATCACACAGTAAATTCTCGTGCTATTCATGATTGATATTAGATGAGTTTTAATGATGAAGCAATTTATCTAGGAACTCTGTCAAATGTTTCAATCTCGAATTCATCAAGTACAGCCAGTTTTGCAACATTTTAACTTATAGTAGAAAACGAAACCGAAAGAAAGTTATTTAATACAATCTTTGCAGATTCTATTGGTACAAGCAAAGGTTAATAGATACATAGACTAGACAGGTCACATAACGAGTCAGAAAATTTTCTTTTCCAAGCATTTTTCGAATGGCAAAATACAACATTTTCAGTTGCTCAGCTGTATAGGATATTACTTAAAGACTATGTTCATTCAATCGATTCAGCTATCTGCATATACTGACAAATAACATACTAGTTTTGAAGGATGGAATATATCAAATTAGCGCCAGGATAATTAGTGAGAGTATGGCTCAAACCACACAACCGATAATGCCTTTGAGTAAGTCATTAACGAGTGGCAGAGATGAAATCTAAACACACTAATTTTCGAATGTCTGCTGAACAGCTTGACGACCAAAATAATTTATAAAGACAGTTTTTTTGCAGTTTGAACCGCCATAAACAGTAAACAAAATGATAGGAACTTTATGCGATAAGTTTTAGCTTTCATTGGTAGTTGATTGGGTAACAGAGTCAAAGCTAGCTAAGGAGGAAAACCTCATGGGCTTTTAACTTCTATCTATCAAGATTTCTTTCGATGTATAATATAAGAAAATTCACTTATGTGAGAAAGTTATCTTAAAACGAGAACTTCTCTTATTCGATATTATATTATTCGATATACACAATTCGATCAAATATGCACTCCTTTATCTACACATGAATACTCTTCTTTCAACAAACCATTACATATATTGATCAATAAGGGAGTGAAGTGAGCATTTTTGATGTATACGATATGAAGGATAGACAATGCATAGATGCATCTATTTGAACAAAAAGAAATGACACAATGATCCAGACATTGAAAAGTCATCAAAAACAACAATGTGTTAATAATGCAGTAGTTCGTATGAAATTATTATACTTATGCTCACACGTTTGAATGTTTCTATAGCACCAAAGCTGATCTCTTCAATAGTGAGACTCGCTTTAGTCTCAGTGGAATCTCTATAATGACCTTTTGATTTTAGCTGCAACCCTGACATATGTATTAGTGGTAAAAAGCTATTTTTTGTTTAACCCCATTAAATGGATGATTGAGACGATATTTTCTTCTCATAAAGCCAGCAAATGAATGAGTTGCCTAAAGACTTTCGGTCTCTATCTCACAGATATCACCGATGTCAGAAACTTTTATGCTGTCCACCACACATATTTGCAAGTAAACAGAAATTTTTTCCGTCACTCGATATTATTAGTAAAAATCTATAAGAAATTCATTGCTCTCCGAACACACTAATTATATTTCTGAAACTTTTTTGTTCTTATTCAGACATATTTTCTATGTTTATGTTGTTCGAAAGCATTTATCCGCATCGGAACATATTCATCGATATCTTGAAGCACAACTCACTAGCGTGATACTTGCATGTATTCTGCGTGACTTGTGCCGCTTTATCCTACATAAGAGGTGTGTGTGTGTATTCCATAACTACCCACCGACACTCACACGGAACCTACAACATGTTGAATAAGCTTCGACGTGATGCTGAAGGATTCAAAATTCTCTTATACATCTGCCATTGTACTAACGAAAGTTCATTTAGAAAAAATTGATTTCATGGTGTAGGTACATGGGTCACATTAAATTGTAACGATATGAACAATTTTCAATATGTCTGAAAGAATTTTCTGCACGCCAATATACTAAAAACATCCCGCATTGTCATCATTTTAAAATTACATTACGTTTTGGTAGGAAAAAGTTATTATTTCTTTTCTAAAAAGAATGATTCTCCGTCTTATAATGTGAAATTAATTGTTTTTCAGGTTTGAAAAATTATTAGAGATTTCATTCATTAGATGCAGGATTCTATAGAGATAGGTTTATATCAATCCATGAAGTTTCAAACTTTGCATCGATTTGTGTATAATTCATGAATGACTTAGGTATTAAGACGAATCAGCAAGTTTTCCATATGAGGAACATGAAGTATGTCAGTTTTTTCTTTTAATCACACAGCCTTAGAGGAACCGTATCGACTTCAGGTCAAAAATTCACATTCCAGATTCAACAAGAACCTACGAAACCTGTTCATCAGATCAATCAGGGACCATGCTTTCAGTATTATTGAAAAACTGGGTGTGGGTGTGGGTGTGGGTAGGTGTGAGTGTGTGGATGTGGGTGTGGGTAGGGATGTGCAGTTTCGGTGAAAACAGTGAATTACTGACAGTGACACACTGACACTGAGCGCACTGTCTGCAGTGATGCACTGTCACTGAGCGAACTGTCTGCAGTGACACACTGACACTGATCGCACTGTTTGCAGTGACATACTGACACTGAGTGCACTGACTGCAGTGTCTACACCGACATTAATATTCACTGAACCAGTGAATACACTGACACTGACTGCACTGGTTCCACTATCTGCACTGATATTGGTGTTCACTGAATCAGTGCATACACTAGGCCCTAATGAGCTATGCGTTCTCTGGAAAGACTTCGTGCCGCTAGCCTCTTGCTGCTGAGATACAATACTTTTACTATGTGTTTTGGAAAAAGCTGTGATACCCTCAGGAACATCAGGAAAAGTGAATTATGAGTTTCCGCCCGAAACTTTTCATATAGATAGGCCTTAGTGAGAATAGTTTATTGGGAAGATTTCAAATGTTTTGGTTGCTTCTAGTCTAAGATAAGAACATTGTATCTGTCGGTGTTTAGAAGCAATTTTAAGATAACTGTATTTTATGATAGAAACAGCGAAAAGAGCTGAAACTTTCACAATAAACTATTCTCATTGAGACATATATCTATGCAAAGTTTGAAGTGGAAATTCGAAATTCAGTGTTTCAAATATCCTTGAGGGGACCACAGCTCTTTTTTGTGAAACATACAGTAAAAAGGCAGTATCTCAGCAATAATAAGCTAGCGGCACGAACTTTTTTTTCCAGAGAATTCATAGATCGTTAGGATCTACATAGTGCACATATGCTCGACTTAAAAGCGATGTGACACTTGGGAATGTTTCCTCGTTAGTGTTGTTGTGCAATTCGAATACACTGACAAAAAAGGTACCCTACGGAACCCTAAAAAGTTTCGATCTTTGAAACGAAATCGAAACCCTTTTGAGTTTCGTAGAAAGTAAGATTTCGTAAGAGAAAGAATTCTTATCTGTAATATAATGAGATACCTCGCCTACATTCTGTACACTACACACTGCTGTACAATACACAGCTTTCCCACACTACTATCCTCACATATCCAAGCCCGAAGAAACCAAACTATTGAGCAGATATGCTTCCATTCAATGAAAATTTTTTGTTAATCTACATATTACAAGCGGAATATGTCGTCGTCTTCCGTGTATAAATTCTAGTCAATGGAAATCAGTATCAGTACGTCAGTGTTCCAGTATGCGTCAGTGCAACAAGTGCAGCCAGTGTCAGTGTATACACTGATCCACTCTCTAAAAAAAAGGAGTTTTCCAGAACTATTTTTGGTTCTGCACATACTGCAGAACCAATTTACAGTTCTGTATGATAGTACAAAACCCTGAAAGGTTCCGCCCAACAATGTTGAACCTTGTAAGGTTCTGTCAAAAAATGCTGAACCATAAAAAGTTCTTTGCCCAGAAATGCTGAACCAAAATGGTTCCGTCCAATGATGCTGAACTATCAAATGTTCCCTTTCTAGAAATGCTGAACCGATGAGGTTCTGCCCAATACTACTGAACCCTTGAAAGGTTCTGCCAAAAAAATGCTGAACCAAAGAAGTTCTTTGTCTAAAATTCCGGAACCCGAAAGGTTCTGCCCAATAATGCTGAACCTTGTAAGGTTCTGCCAAAAAAATGCTGAACCATACAATGTTCTCTGTCCAAAAGTGCAGAACCGAAAAGGTTCTGCCAAATATTTCTGAACCTTGTAAGGTTCCGTCAGAAAAATGCTGAATCATAAAAAGCTCTCCGTCCAAGAACGCTGCACCGAACAGGTTCCGTCCAATAATACTGAACCTCGTAAGGTTCTGTCAAAAAATGCTGAGCTATCAAAAGTGTTTTACCCAAAGATATTGAAACAGAAAAGGTTCTGTTAATTCTGCAGAACTCTTCGGGGTTTCTCAGTCAAAATAGGGAATTATAGAAGGATTTGACAAAGAAAATATGGTTCACCATATAATTATTGTGAAAACTTCTTTTCAAAAGCTCGATATAAAACATGTTTTTTAAATATAGTTTAGAGTACATTCGACAGGACTATTTTATCACGTAGTTTTCATTTCTTTTACTTCGTGATATGTTACTGTACAAAGTGAACGATTTTTGTCAACCATCGAAAATGTTTTTATCTACTTATAATATCAAGATGAAATGAACTTTCTTTTCTTTTTCAGCATTTTCACTTTATTTATGTCATTTAGCTGCTATTTATTTCATGATAAGATTGAAATAAATCACCAACGTACTAAGAATACCTACGTTATTTAAAATAAATATAGTAAACAACTACAAAAGTATATGTCACGTCTTGAGTGTCGGTCAAGAAACGAAATATAAATATATTGGGTTTTTCTTTAGTCCTAAGGGCATAGAATAGGGATATAGTGTAAGGATATAAAATAAAGGTATAGAATAAGGATATAGAATCTACATAATACAGCACGGTTGTCTGTCCGTCTGTTACCGGATCAAAGATCAAAGATCAAAGGTTCAAGGTTAAAGGTCAAACACTTTTGGAATTTTCTACACCTTTCTCGAA